TGAGAGGAGAATGGAGGAGAAGGGATTGCAGCGTGACCATCCCCTCTGGGGGGTGATTTCTCGCTTTCTGTCTCTATGTCCCTCTCTGTCTGGCGAGTGCACGCACCCTATAGCGAAAACCTCTCCAAAAAATAAAAAATAAAGTTTGTTGAATGAATGCATGAGTGGTGGTGGGCCTCTCTGCCACCAGGTCTACCGTAGATGGACAGCGTGGGGACAGCCTTGGCCTGGTGGTCCTGGCTGTCCTGCCAGTGCTCCCCCAATCCTCCCTGGCAGCTCCAAGGGACCCTGCCTTGGCCTCTCACCTTTGTCGCTGTTGTTTGCAGTAGGGTGCAAGTGCTCACGGGAGAGAGAGAAATCATCCAGTCCCCTCTCCTCCATCCTCCTCCTGGGACTTTGGGCATGCATGCACATTTACCCGGCATGATTTCTAAGCTGCCGGGTCCCGGACTCGAACCGTGGAGTTGGCCATGTGGGATCCAGTGCTTTAACCACCCTGCCGCAGGCTACCCCTCATGCCTCAGCCTTTGGTGGCCTCTTCCTGGCCAGGCCCCCCAGTGCAGGCCGAGGGCCCTGATGTGCTGGGGCCACTAGGCATGGCTGCAGGCCTGATAAGTCTCTCAGCCCTCCTGTCTGCAGCTGCCCAGGCCTCAGTTTACCCCACGGTAAGGTGGCAGGTTAACGAGGAAGGCACAGTCTCCAGGGCCCCTTCATGCTGACATCAGATATCTTCGAGAAGCATGGAACCAACCCACGATCGCTATCTTTCAGAGAAAGCGAAACCTGGTCCCCAACCGTCACGGCAGCGACTCCCCCTCCCAGGCTTCCCCTCTGAGCTCACGGTTTCCCTCACCCCGCCCCCATGACAGCTGGTACTTGGAATTCAGCTTTATCTTTCCTTTTTCCTTGAGTGGACATTGGCCTTTTATGTCCATGGCGGCAGTGGCCCGTGCGGTGGGCTGGGCAATGCTTTGCTCATCTTCCCCTCACACGTAGGGCCTCGGAGGCCCAGAGACGTTCCGCGACTTGCCTCGGGTCACACAGCATGTCCGTGGGCTGGACTCCGGATCTCCCATTTCTCCTGCTCCAAGTGCCCAGTCCTGCCTGCAGGACTCCGTCCACATAGGAAGGGCCTGCCCGTGTGGCGGGCCTGAGCTGGGGAAGGCTGGGAGGGGTCCAGGATGGGGAAAGCGGGAGTCCAGCTGGGGAGTGCTGGTCCCAGGGCCAGGACGACAATCTCGGGGCTGCCAGGCTGGGCCTGGCTCCGTGCCCAGGGCCCGGTGGTTTCCGCTCACAGATGTCCCAACAGCCCCGGCAAGCGGGCGGGAAGGGCGCTAAGAAGGAAGATGGCTCGCCCCCCTCAGCCCCAGAGCCCTGTGTCCTGAGAGGCCACCGGCTCCCGCACCAGGACTGGCCTGGGGCCTCCACGGCCCGGCTCACAATGCCCCCTCCTCGCCAGGCCCCCGAAGATGACACGGACCCCCTTGCTCCCTGCTCGCCCCAGGAAGGCTGAGGCTGCGGTTTGCATCATCCTTGGGCGTGGGGCTGACCTCGAAGAACGAATTCGAAGAAAACAGGAGGAGGAGCAGGCATGCCGCCGCGCCCAGCGCCCATTGGCCGCGTGGAAACTTTGGTTTTTGGGGTCATGTTCCCAGAAGGCCTGCCCTCCTCCCCCCCCCACCTCACGAGGTGTTGGCCAATCGCCCCAGCGGGCATAAAGTGGCTGCCAGCCCGCAGGGCTCCCAGCCGGGAGGTGTCACCCCCAGGAGGCGCGGGCCGAAGCGCGGGCACCCAGCATGCGGACACATTGCATTTGGAGGACGCTCCTCAGTAAGTACTTCCTTCCTGCCCAACAGCACCCCTCGCCGTTCCCATGCTGATAGGGAACAGGGACACCCTCTGCCCTCCAGGGGCTGAAGAGGCTGGACACCCCCAGAAGGATGCTGAGAAGCAAAAAGAGCCAGGAGGTCAGGCAGGGGGTGGGGTTCACTGAGGACCCAGCATCTCCACAGGTGTAGAGGGGGTATCCCTGGAAGGCTTCCAAGAGGAGGTGATGTATTGGGTTATTGGAAAAGTCACGATGTATTTTTTGTGTTTTTCTATGCAAAAGCACGTCATGACTTTTCCGACAACCCAACAGAATGAGGGAATGAGGGAAGAGGAAGGATTGCGAAGAGGCCGGAGAGGCAGGAGGGAGGTGGGTGACACACCAGGGCAGGAGGCAGCTGCTGATGCCAGGCAGGGAAGTGCCACACGCAGAGGGGCTGCAGGGCCTCTTTGCCCATTTACAGGGGCTGAGATGGATAAAAAGTCAGCCAGGCCTAGGATCCCAAAGGCCCACAGAGTCACACAGCCACACAGCCACACCCACAGGGTGACAGCAAAAAGCACCACATGTCACCCAGAGCACTCAGTCTCGCCACCTGGGAGCCCCTCACGCAGCCCAGGGTGCCTGTGGGAGCGGGAGCCCCTTGCCTCCCCTGAGCCGGACTCACGCCCACACAGACGCCCTGGTCCCATGCTGCCACGCACGGCCACGCAGGCCCCGCCCAAGCCCCACAGAGATACCTGGGGAGGCAGCCAGAGTGCCTGTGGTCGCTGCACCTGGGCACCCAGCCCTCAGCCCTCCCCGGCAGCCTGTCTTCCCCCAAGGGGCCGGCGGATCTTAGGAAGGGACCGATGGTGTCACTGCCTTCCGGGCCATTGCGCCACAGGCCCCTTCCGACCACGTGGCTGCCGGCGCTGGGGCTGGGGGGGGGGGGGGGGGGGGCTTTAGCGG